TGCACCATTGGACTCCAGCCTGGGCAACAAGAATGAAACAAAAAAAAAAAAAAAAAAAAAAAAAAAAAAAGATTACTGAACATATAACAGGAGAATAATGCTGAATGTTAGTGCTCGAGTCTTAAAGGAGCCCCCAATTATATCAAACAGGCATACTTAGTTAAATAGCTAACTATATTTTAGTGCCTATCACATTGTAATTAGATCTATATAGAGTGCTACAGGAGCAGAGAAAAAGGGAGTTATTAACTGCCTAAGGAAAGTGGAGAAATACTTAGAAAAATCTTTGTGGAAAGGTTTATATTTCGAATGGACTCTTGATAGATAAGCACTCACCAGACATCAAAAAACAATGAGAAGGCATTTACAGAGGGATGGGCATCCACGCAGGCTTGTGAGCATGTGATGGATCAGAGGAACAGCAAGTGGGACAGTGGGGTGGGAGCATAGGGGCTGTGGAAAGAAGTAGTAGAAGGAAATAACTCAGCCAAATTGTGAAAGATGTTTTTCGTTCCTGGTTAAGAATTAGTTAATTCTTTAGCTAGAAGTCACGGAAGTTTTTAAACAGGGAAGCAACATGATGAGCTCGTTCACAGACTATAAAAGATGGATTACAGAAGAGAAGACAAAGTCCAGGAGATGGGTTAGAAGGCTACTGAAAATGCTGGATTTCAGGATGTTCTGAGGCACAGTCTTAGGAACAGGAAAAGGAAACAGACCTTATCACTCTTGATCTTTTCCTATTCACAAGTTATATTTGATTTATCATCATTACTGTGCCCTTGTCAAAATGCAAATATGTGCTTGCTTCAGGAGCACATATACCAAAATTGGAATGATACAGAGAAGATTAGCATGGCCCCTGTGTAAGGATGACACACAAATACATTAAGCAGTCCATGTTTAAGGCAAGTATGCCACTGTTAGGAGGCCCTGATTCGTTTCTTTTGTTCATGTTCTCTCTCTGCCTCTCTCTCTGTCTCTCTCTCTCTTTTCCTCCTTCTACCCCCCTACCCTCCCTCTCCCTTCTTCACTATCTCCCCTCTCTTCCCTTCTCCTCCTTCTCTTGCCCTGATCCAAGTGGAAAATTAGTGTCTGTGCCGGGGAAGAATTGCTAGTGAATATCAAGATTGTTCTAATTAATAGATTAGGAAGAACTGAATTAATTTGAAGGGAAAAGCTTTGATTTCCTTTTTTTGATAGGAATATAAACAAATTTATAATAAATGGTAACTTGGCTGGGTGTGGTGGCTCACACCTGTAATCCCAGCACTTTGGAAGGCTGAGGCTGGTGGATCACCTGAGGTCAGGAGTTCAATACCAGCCTGACCAATTTGGCAAAACCCCGTCTCTACTAAAAATACAAAAAGTAGCTAGGCGTGGTAGTGTGTGCCTGTAATCGCAGCTACTAGGGAGGCTGAGGCAGGAGACTTGCTTGAACCCGGGAGGTGGAGGTTGTGGTGAGCCAAGATTGCACCACTGCACTCCAGCCTGGGTAACAGAGTGAGACTCCATCTCAAAAAAATAAAAAACAAAACAAATGGTAACTTAAAAAGTAAAAGCTAAGTTGCATTGCCACAGTAAATACAGTTGTGCAAAAATATGTCTGCATGTGAACAAAGCCTTGAGAAGATTTGCCATGCAAGACTAATAGGATCATGTATGATTCTTTTCCTGTTAAGTAATTTCCTTTCATGACATTCGCATGACAGTTTTTTTTGCTCTGTCACCCCAGGCTGGAGTGCAGTGGTGCGATCTCGGCTCACTGCAACTTCCCCCTCCCTAGGTTCCAGTGATCCTCCCTCCTTAGCCTCCTGAGTAACTGGGACTACAGGTCCGTGACGCCATGCCTAGCTAATTTTTTTTTCTTTTCTACAACTTTTATTTTAAGTTCTGGGATACATGTGCAAGTTTGTTATTAGGGTGTTGCAAAAGTAATCATGGGACATGTGCCATGGTGGTTTGCTGCCCAGATCAACCTATCACCTACGTATTAAGCCGAGCATCCATTAGTTATTATTCTTGATGCTCTCCCTTCCCACCCATCACCCGGTAACAGGCCCCAGTGTGTGTTGTTCTCCCCCATCCTTGTGTCCATATGTTCTCATTGTTCAGCTCCCACTTAGAACATGCGATGTTTGGTTTTCTGTTCCTGCCTTAGTTTGCTGAGGATAACGGTTTGCAGCTGCATCCATGTCCCTGCAAAGGACATGATCTCTGTCCTCTTTATGGCTGCATAGTATTCCATGGTGTATATATACCACATTTTCTTTATTCAGACTATCATGGATGGGCATTTGGGTTGATTCCCTATCTTTGCTATTGTGAATAATAAAAAGCCTTGATTTCTGACCATTTTCTTGGTTCTCTAGATAATTAAATTGAAAGCTGAAGCCCGGCTGGACCTGCTAAAGCAGATCGGTGTTTCTGTGGACACATGGCTAAAGAGTGCCATGAACCAAGTAATGGAAGAACTGGAAAATGAGCGATGGGCCCGCCCTCCTGCAGTGACCAGTAATGGCACTTTACACTCGGTACAATTTCTTTTCTTGGATATAAGTTGATTTTCAATGAAGGATGCTTTGACTCTGTAGCCAAACTTAATAGCCAAAATTTTTTAAAAAGATAATAGTTTGCTAGTGATTTAGGTTTTATTCTTCAGCCTATCACTAATTGATTTAAAATTATTGCAGGAAAAGAAAGAGAGGAAAAAATGGGTGTATTTTTTAAATGTGTGATGAAGAATATATTACCACTGTTTGGGTTATTGATGCCCATATACCAAACTCATTATCCTGTTCATAAAATAAATATGCTTGTGTCTGTAAGTAATAGAATGGAAAACAATCTAGTGTCTCTGAAGTTCTTGGAGGTCTTCTTTAGTGAAAAATGAAAATAAACATCCAGAGATTTGTACAAAGTCTTAAAGAAGTGAAAGGAATGCTCTTCTTAGTGTGTGGGCTTAGTCTGAAGGTGACTTCAAATCTCGAAAGCTGTTAAGCTTTCATATTCCCCTCACATAGAGTTTAGGTGAGTTTTACAGACAAGGCCAGGACACAGCTTAAGTTTCTTACTTCAAGTCCAGGGCTTTTTCCACTCTGATGTCATCTGGTTCAACCTTAGTTTTTCATGTTGGATATCTAAGTACCAGAAAAGTTCGATGATTTTCCTGATATTACATAGGTGGATGCGTGATGCCTCGCTAGTCAGACTAATGTAATTCCTGCTGTCACCTCCCCACCCATTACTCTCTGTCATCCTGTTTATTTCCTCAATAGTATTTATTGCAGTTTGAACTTAACTTCTTCATTTGTTTTCTTTTGTTTATTGTCTGTCTTCCTCTCTAGAATGTAATTGCCATATCTTTCTGGTTCCCTGCTCTGCACAGCAAAGTGCCTGGCACATAGTAGGTTCTTAAGTATTTTTTGAAGGAAGGAGTGAGTGCCAGCAAAGTGCCTGGCACATAGTAGGTTCTTAAATATTTTTTGAAGGAAGGAGTGAGTGGTGGATGGATGGGTGAATAGGTAGATGGAATAGTGGCAAACTGAAAGCTAGAACTCTAACCTCCCAACTTCCCACTACCTTCATAGTGCCTCTTTAAAATGCTTGTGCTCCTCAGATACCAGGCAGTCTTGCTAGAGAAACTGGCCAAAGTTTTAAAACATTCCTGGAAGTTTTGTCAATTTTTTCACATAGCATTCTGATTTTCTAATGAGAATATACTTGCACATTTAAAAAGGATTGTGTGTGGGTGTACATTTTAAGGAAAAACAATCTGTTGAAGCTTTATTTTTATTTCACTATTAATATTCATCTAGCTGGAGGGAAAAAGAAACATCACCCACTTGACTTTGGAATTACAAGTGCTTCCCTCGTTGTTATTAGAACAGAGTTGCCCTGGCCAGGCGTGGTGGCTCATGCCTATAATCCCAGCACTTTGGGAGGCCAAGGCGGGCAGATCATCTGAGGTCAGGAGTTTGAGACCAGCCTGGCCAACATAATAAAACCCCATCTCTACTAAAAATACAAAAATCAGCTGGTTGTGGTGGCAGGCACGTGTAATCCTAGCTACTGAGGAGGCTGAGAGAATTGTTTGAACCCGGAGACGGAGGTCACAGGGAGCTAAGATCACGCCATTGCACTCCAGCCTTGGTGACAAGAGTGAAACTCCATCTCAAAAACAAAAACAGAGTTGCTCCATCTCATGGAATATCTCCTACTATTGCGCCTTCATAATGCCAGTCTACTTCAGATTGTTATAGAGTTTTTGATGACAGCAAATTCCAGGCCCACTTGTATGGAGGATATGTCATTTGAGATGGTACTTGAAGAATTTTAACAGGAGATAAAGAAAAAGGGCTGTTCTCAGTGTGAAGGGAATGAAGAAGCTGTGCTTAGTACAGTAGTAGTAAGCATTGAATAAATGAATATTTTTGAGACCTGTCTGAAGGAGCTGTGCTTAGTACAGTAGTGGTAAGCATTCAACAAATGAGTATTTTTGAGACTGTCTAGAGACATCACTCATCTAGAAACGTGTCATAGCCTCTGTGAAGAAAGCATTTTGCAATCCCATCTCACGTTTTTCTTCCCCCTAGTCAATCTTATGGAGCCTGCATCTTTCAACTGAGAGATTACATTTTGTGGAAGATCTACTAATAATATAAATAAAGGAGAGACGTAGGCACAATAGCTTAATGAGGACCCATATTTATTTAATCCGCTTTTAAATAATAGCACTGAAATTATTTAGAGGGGGTTGTATCTCTTCATACTGACAGCTGGACGTCTGAGGAACATGAAGCAGAAATACACATTCGAGAGGCCAAATTATTTCTTCCATTACAGGTGCCAACAAAAGCATTCGTCATCTGGAAAACATGATTAATACTACTGTTAGACATTAATAGTGCAACTGAAAAGTGCCCTGTGGAAGATAAATGTTTTAAAAAGACACATTATAAAATAAGGAAGGAACTATACTTACTTGGGTATTAACTCTGCCTTCTGTATCATGCTATGGTATAGAATGTAAGACTGGAAGAAAGGAATCCCAGAATATAGCAACATTGTTTTTAAAGGAGAACAGTCCACGGACACAGTTAACTCAGTTTCAGTTGGCCGGAGCCTGCATGCAACTTCCCCCATTAGATTGCTGCCAGCCTCCCCGTCAGCCTGTGTCACCTGCCCTCCCTTGTCTTATTGTTCTGCTTCTCTTACTCAAAAGCCATACCAAAATGACAACCTGACTTTTGAAATTATATTAATTTTACGATAGAAAAAGTTATATAAGTAGATTACAGAAAAAATTTGGAAAATACAATACAGAAGAAAATGAATAGTAGATCCATCCTTATAATAGCACAACTAGCAATTTGGTGTATTTCCTTATTCTTTTATTTTTTAATTGTCATAAAACTGTGTATATTTATGGTGGACAACATAATGTGCATTGTTTGTTTGTTTGTTTGGAGACAAGGTCTCGCTCTATCGCCCAGGCTAAAGTGCAGTGGCACTGTCAATGGCTCACTGCAGCCTCAACCTTTCGGGCTTAATCGATCCTCCTGCCTCAGCCTCCTGAGTAGCTGGGACTACAGACACATGCTCCCATCCCCAGCTAATTTTTGTATTTTTTACCATGTTGCCTAGGCTAGTCTCAAACACCTAGGCTCAAGCGATCTGCCAACATTAGCCTCCCAAAGTGCTGGGATTACAGGCATGAGCCACCATACCCACCCCATATTTTTATTATTTCTACTCTTTTATTTGTAAGCCACTATGCCCAGCCTGTTATTTTATTTCTTACATTTTCAAACTATAGCTGACAATGTTAACATCACTTCCCTGTTTTCAGCTACTTTCCCCAACTAATGTACAAAAGCAAACTGCCAGTCTACTCTGTTGTACAGC